TCCCACTCTGCCTTCCCCAGGGACACTGAACGTGCTCCCCCTGGGACAGGGCTCGTTGTTAAAGGTTAACAGAAATCTCGTGGAGGAGCAGCAGAGCCCACAAAGATGCTGAGGGGTTTGGAGCATCTCTCTGTGAGGAGAGGCTGAGGGAACTGGGCCTGGTTGGAATGGAGGAGAGGACACAAATACCCACAGATATGCCCAGGGGATGGTGCCAGACTCTGTTCAGTGGTGCCCAATGACAGGACAAGGAGCAGGGGGCAGAAAATAAAATACAACAAGTTCCACCTCAACCTGAGGAAGAGCTTTCCATGTGGGTGGCAGAGCACTGGAGCAGCTGCCCAGGGAGGGTGTGGACACATTCCAGACCCACCTGGACACATTCTTGTGTCACCTGCTCCCAGTGACCCTGCCTGAGAGGGGTTGAACTGGGTGATCTCCAGATGAGCCCCAGCTGCTCTGTGATTCTGTGTGTTGGACTTGCAGCTCTGATTTTCCCTTGGTGGGCTTTCACACCCCCGAGGGCAGGGGGTGCAGCCAGATGTGCTCTGGCTCTGGGGGATCACAAGGGTTGTGCTTTTTTGCTTCTGAGCCACAGGGCTGGGCCAGGGAGTGCTGGGAGTTCACCCCCAGCTGCTGCAATTTGTGTCTGAGCCAAACAAAACGGGAGCATCACCTGCTTCAAAGGAAGGAATTGCAGAGAAACTGGGAATATGCTGCTTTCTTTGATCTCTGAGTTGCTTGGATGTTCCAAGATTTGTTCTTTAGATGCTGTGTTTATCCAGTGAGCTTAAGGGAGCTGCATCCCTGCTGGGAGGGAGGGAGGGAGGGGTGGCAGCTTCTGGCTGGGGTTTGTGCAGGAGCAGCTGTGTGGTGTCCCAGGATTGTCCTGGTGCTGGAACCCTCCTCAGCCCCATCTGGGCAGGGATGGTTGGAAGGGCTGCCCTTGGTGTTGTTTTTTGCTGTGGATGACCTGCTTGAGGCAGCAGCAGTCAGGGTGACACAGAGGTGGTGTAGCAAAAGAATTATTACAAGAACTGGGGTTTTTTATGGCCAAAGCAATGCCTGTGGATGTGCAGGAGGGCACTGGGGTGTGCCAGGCACAGCTGCCCCTCAGTGGGTCCTGCCTGGGTGGGCAGACCCCAGCCTGGGCTCCAGGGACACATCCCAGTCCCTGAGATGAGGTGATCCCACCATGGCTGGGTGTTCCTGCAGCAGTTTTGTCTGGTATTAATCTGAGATTCCACAGATAATCTGCTTTTACTGTCCTGAACGTGTTCTGTGGAGGGATTTGGGGTACTGACAGCATGGCTGTTTCAGGTTGGGGTGGGAATGCTGTCCTGCAGTTTGGGACTCAGCTGTGCACAGGCTTGTCAGCCATGGCAGATTCCCAGTATTTCTGGGATTTTTACCAACAATAACGTTCAGCACTAGTTTGATGACCAGAGAACTGTTGAGATGATGCTGTAAACCCACTTCCCACATTATTTAACTTCCAGCTGGGACACTTGAGCGGATTTCACCCTTCCAGTGAGGTTTCCCTTACTAAATCACTGTTCTCCTTAGGTTTATTCTCCCCGAGCTGCCCCAGGAGCAGCACTGCTGGCAGACCCGGTGCTGTTGTGCACCTTGGGCTGCGGGAGGTGTGTGTCTGTGCCCTGGCTGAGCAGTGTGTGAGCTGTGCTCTGTGTTGCAGGTCTGGAGGGCGAGCGCCCGGCGCGGCTCACGCGGGGCGAGGCTGACCGGGACACGTACCGCCGCAGCGCCGTGCCACGTGAGTGTGCCCCTGGGCCCCCTGCCCTCTCAGGGACAATTGTCCCGGCTCTGGGGCTCCTCTCAAGGAGAAAAGGGGAAGATGAGACTCTTGGCATAGCTTAGAGTCTGTATGTGAGGGTGGATGGGAGGTGTGCTGGAGTTTTGTCCGGCTGAGCTGTGGGGTTTTCCCTGGGGGTGGTTTGGTAACTCTCAAACGTGCTCAGTTACAGCTGTTCCATTTTGCTGTGTTTAGCCCCACTTTGAGTTCTGTGGGATGGTTAAAGCCTTGCTCCCAGGCAGGGGGTTCTGTGAGCACTGACTGCTTCTCTTTCTGCAGCTGGTGCTGACAAGAAGGCTGAGGCTGGTGCTGGAGCAGCCACGGAATTCCAGTTTGTGAGTGTTTGCATTTGAACTTTGCTTTTTTAAAGGCTTTGGGAAAAGCTGGAAGGTCCTGTCTGTGGGACTCTAGAGTGTCAGGAGGGCTGGAAACTGTCACCCTTCACATGCAGCTTGCTTGCTGTGGGGAAAGGATGTGGTGGGCAGAGGCCAGTGGCAAGTTTGAGAGCAAACTGAGCCCTTTGGAGATCCATGATTTTATACTTCAAAAACAAAAGTATTTTAGGTGTGATCCACAGAGCTGGCTGGAGTGGGTTGATGTTTGTGACACTCACCTGGCTGACCTGTGCCATCAGAGAGCTTTGATGATGTTTTTGCTGTCATTACTTGACACAATGATTTCTAACACTCTCCTTTTGCTGTTGCAGAGAGGTGGATTCGGTCGTGGACGTGGTCAGCCCCCGCAGTAGAACTTTGTGCTCATGTTTTGTGTATAATAAAGAGGTGAAAATGCCACTGGGTTCATCCTGTGTCTGTCTGAAGTGCACAAACAGAGCTCACGAAGCACAGCATGACTCAGATCTTTGGCATCTGGAGCAGCACTTTGGGAACGACTAAATGCAGGTTCTAGAGAAGGAACTCCCCAAGTTTAGGGGGTGTGGAGGTGAGTCCTGGAGGAATGCAGGAGCGTTTCCCATCTGCCCAGGGCGATGCTGCTTTCCGGCCACGCAGCAGCGCTGGGCTGGGACTGAGCTGTTCTGCAGATGGAAAACTCGGCTGTGCCGGCCCGTGTCCCTGAGATCGGGACACAGTGGGCGGGTCCGCGTGTCCTGCACCCTGCGCTGTCACCGGGGCTGTCACTTGTGGGGGACCGAGGGCGGGGGGCGTGTGGCGCAGTGGCCGCCGCCCACCGCCAGGTGTCGCTCGGCAGCCGGTGACTAATCGGTAACGGGCCCGGGATGGCCGCGGTGTCACCGCCGGCGGGGAGCGGACACTTGGGAACCGACGCGCGGTCACTGACCGGGGCAGCGGACACACGGACACCGACCCGCGGTGTCACCGGCAGGGGAATGGACCCTCAGCCGGCTGTCACCAGAGGGGGAATGGACACCGACCCGCAGTGTCAGGGCGGGGGATGGACAGACACACACACGGAATGTCACCGGGGAGGGGACACGGCCCCGCGGTGTCACGGGCGGGGTGGGGACTGCGCGGCCCCGCGGTGCCTGCAGCGCCCCCGCGCGGCGCAGGGCGGGCGCTGCTGTCCCCGCGGAGCCGCTGTCACAGCGGGGCCACGTGCGCGCGGCCGGCCCGGCCCCTGCGCCGTTCGCGTAAGGCCGAGCGCCCGCCGCCGCCGCTCTACGCCGCCCCTTGTATTCCCGAACGCGGCATGCGCCAATGGCGCAGAGCGCGCGAGCCGGAGCGGGGGCGTGGCGGCGCCGCCAGCGAGGGGGGAGCGATTCTGGAAGCCGCGCTGCGCACTTCGCGTAGCGGGCGAGCCGCGAGCCCGCGGGGGCAGCACCGCCTCCCCGCCCGGCGGCGCTACGCCGTTTGCGTAGCGAGCCCCAAGATGGCGGCGCGGTCGTCGTCGGCGGTGGCCGGAGCGCGGGCGGTGGCGGCGGCGCGGCCGGGAGCGAGGGCAGGGGTGAGGCGGGCGAAGGGAGGCAGCGCGTAGCGAGACCCACGAAGCGAGACCCAGAGAGAGACTGTCGCGGGGAGGCGGTTCCCCCGCGCCCCCCCGTCCTTCTCCGCCCGGTGGGTCCCGCCCGCCCCCGCCCTCCGGGCCGCGCGTCCTCCGGCCCCGCCGCCCCCGGAGCGGAGGATGATGAAGCTCAAGTCCAACCAGACGCGCACCTACGACGGGGACGGCTACAAGAAGCGGGCGGCCTGCCTGTGTTTCCGCAGCGAGAGCGAGGAGGAGGTGAGGGGCGAGGCCGGCCCGGGACCCCCGAGCCGCCGGGGGTGGGGGGACTCGGTCCCAGCGGGATTTTATTTTTAATAGGCGTCATTCAGCGTCGCTGGGAGAGCTGGTGCTTCGCACTGGGTTACTGCTGTCCGCCGGAGCCGGGGAGATGCCCGGTGGGCGGCGGGACAGGCTGAGGGGAGCGCGGGACGGGGTTTGGCAGTGCGGGCACCGACCACGCTGGCAGAACTTCAGTCCAGCACATCACATGAGATGGGAGAGGAAACCTGACCTTGGATTTATAAAAAGAAACTGGGATAAAAGGGGACTGATGGAGTGCCAGAAGTTGCTGTCCAGAGAGTTCGGGAGGAAGTGGGAATTAAAGGTGGATTGGTTGTTTTGAGAGCGGCCGCGTTGCTAAGGGGCTGCATTGTCCGGGAAGTCACGGTGAGAAACTTCGCTCCGATGTGCGATTTTACTCGAGTCTTTGTTGACACCTCCTGAAGGTGGGCTCGGGGTGCTCAGAGCAGCGAGGCTGCAGGTCTGCCTTCTGCTGCTGCTGCTGGAGTCAGGCGTACACACTCCACTGCATTTGCTGAGCCCGAGTGGCTGTGCTAAAGTCTTTGTTCTCCTGATTATCATATTTGTAGCTACAGGAAATCGGAAGGGAATGCAGACAGTTCACTGGAGGAAAGGCAATTAGCATGCATCCAGTTATTATTTAACGTGAAGGAGACTGCACAAGCCCTTTGTAACTGTGCTGGCGTGATGAGGAGTGTCAGCATTTCAGCAGAAATGGTCTGAAATGACAGCAGTGTGTCTGGTGCAGCGTTCAGTGTAACTGATCCTTCCCACGGACTTCCAGGAAATTCATGGACTGACCATGAAGAAGACCATCATTGTTCTGTGTGGTGATGCTGGGGGTGCTCAGCACGGGTGGGTGAGGGCGTTGGAGTGCCCTGATGAATCGTTCACAATTAGTGGGGCAGTTTGCAGGCTCTTCTCCAGAGGTGGAGGCTTGGCCGTGTGTGACTGCAGGATGGCTTAGGGTAGAAAAGTACTTTTAACAGGTGCCTGAGGCAATCAGCATGTGACTGGTTGTGAGTTTTATTTTAACACACCTCGGTCTGCTGTGTTGCACAGGCTCCAGCTGATCCTTCCAGCCCGTGGGAGCTGGTGACAGCCCTCGTGGTGCTGGGGACACCGAGGTGTGTTAATGACAGGGGTCAGAGCCCTCACGGTGCTGGGACACCAGGCTGTGTGGCAGTGTCACAGTGCTGACCCAAGAGGTCCAAGGAGGAAAGTGAACTCGTTCCCGAGGCACGCTGGCGTGGGATGGATGCTTCCAGCAGGCTCAGCTGTCAGGTTGGTGTAAGGCTGAGATTTAAAACCACTTTTGTGTCACTTGTGTCTCTGCTGTGGTCTCCACCTACAGTGGATTGAATTTAAACTCCTTCAGGCTCTAGTTTCTAGGTGAGAGCTGGAGTAGAACAATCTGTTTCTGGTTTCAGGCTGGGTTTGAGGGAGCTGGCTCCCTGTGCTGGGTCATTCCCAGGGCTCTGTGAGCTCTGGGGAGGTTTTTGTGAGCAGGGCAGTGCAGGCTCTGGGTGAGCTCCTGTTGTCCCTGTGGTCGCTGTTGGTGGCCCGGTCCCTGAGCTCGCAGTGACAGCTGGCAGTGGCTCTGCTGCCCTGGGACAGCTCAGGAGGGAGCAGTGGCTGCTGTGGAAGGGCTGCACTCCGGGCTGGGGTGGTTTCCCGGGATGTGCTGTGGGTGAGGATGAGGCAGGGAGGGACGGGTCTGATCTCAGAGCCTCTGAAGGGCTGTGTGTGGTACCTGTGGGTTGAGCCCTGAGCTGAAGCTGCATCCTCTGTTCCCACCTGTTACAGCCCTGGTGTGGAAGGGGGCTTGTCACAAATACATCGGGAAAGTTCTTAGCCAGTCCCACAGAATTAACCCCACTGGGATGGACTCTGTGCCCAGATCCTGAACTTGGCCTTGGCCAAAAGGTGTTGAAGTTAAACTTGTGTCAATGAGTGAAATCAGCAAGCAGGACACCTTATTAATTTTCCTTTCTAATTACTTCTTGGGAAATAATTCTCATTTGTTAGCTTTTAAATAAACTTTGAGAGAAGCTGACTGGTGTCCACTCACTGCAACTTGCACTTTTTTAATAGCAAGGAAGGTATTACCTGTACACATTTAAGTACAGAATATAAAATGGCTGTGAAAGATTTCTGGTTTGCTCTTGGACAATAATACTTTTTAATGTTACTGACGTATTTTATTATTGATTGCTTCTATTTAAGTGGAAATGGAGATTTCTTTAAAAGGTCTCTCCAGGGAGGGGAGAAAGAGCCAGAGCCAAAGTATGTACATTAAAGAGCTATTAAAAGCTTAGTGTTTGAAAAGAAGAGAGAAGAAAAGAAGCATGTTTTGATAAATAAATTAAACTTTCTATATTAAAGTTGGATTTTTCCTATGACTGGCTGTTTCTCATTACTGTTACTTTTAAGTGCTTAAGAAATAGTAGAACTTTGGTCTTGCCTTTTTTCTTCATTTCCTGCTAGGAATTTAAAAAATCCAATTTTTTTCTTGTTTTTAACCCCTCATTAGTTCTTGAATTAAAACAGTTTGTCAATGGACAAGAGGAAATAAGAGAATTTTGTTTACTCTTACAGAGGAGGCTACTTTCTTCTGTTTAGGTGTTTCCCCCTGACTCTTCAGTTCACTGATATATTTTTCATTGAAATCTTTGCAATCCCTGGAGATTGATAAAACACCATGTCCTTGGTTTGGTGTTACATTTGCAAATAAAGAGTCTTAACAGAAAAATACTTTGTTCTTTTTTAGTTTTTGAGTGATTTATTTTTTCCTTATGCTGCTGGAAGTCGCACATTGTCTCTGCATTGCATTTGGAGGCCTCTACTTTGGGCATGAAAAAAGCTCTGGAACGTTTTTGGAAGACCAAGCATTGGCTGAAAAGATGCCTTTGTTACATATTCCTTTAAAAAGCAGCACGGGGAGAATTCATTTCAACGTGAATCTCAAATGGAGAAAAAAAAATTTACATTTTTTGGGCATTGTGGAAACCCCCCAAATTGTGTGTGGTTTCCCAAACCACGATCCACATCCTTGGGCAACAGGGAGAGCTGGGGCAGCAATGGGATTCATTCAGAGTGGGAACACACTTCAAAGGACCTTCCAGCAGCCAGAACTTTGCTATTCCCATCTTTTCACGTGGACTGAACTCCTGGAATATTTGCAGAACTGTGGAAGGAGAGTGAAGGGAGAGCTCCCAAATCCTGTGGTACCTCTGCAGTCACTTCATTGCTTGGGGCGTCCCTGCCCCTCAGCATTTCCACCAGGGTGTTATTTTTACATAACACACGTATTTTTTTTTTTTGTGTGGACCAGCTGTTCCATGAGGAAACATCCCAGAAAATGCCTCTCCTGGCCCACAGCTGGAGCCCTGCTCCGGTGGAGTTTGTCAGGATAAAGAGGCACCACTGGGCCATGGGTCTGCAGCGGGTTTCAACATGCCCACGTTGTAGCTGTGAAAGGACAAGCTGCTCGTTAACCACGGGCGTTTTTAAAGACTTTTCTTTTTTTTTTTGAGAAAATGCCTCGGGAAGAATCTTTTTCTGAGCAGTGAATGAGGCCTGAATGGAGCTGGGGGAAGAGAGGCTTCACCCAGGGCCGGTGCCCTGGCACACGCTGAGCCTCGGTGGTCACGGTGGTCACGGGGAGAGCTGGGCCGGGTGGCCCCTGGGAAAGCCATTGGAATGCAAACGAACCTTTTTTCTTTTCCTTCTGGCCTCTCCCGGGTTTTACTCCAGCTGTGATGTAACACAGCAGAGCTGGGATTGGAACCCCATGTGTGGTGGGGATCACGAGGTGCTCCTGGGCTGTCCCCTGTGCCTTGGCTCCAGCTAAAACCACTCCGAGTGCTTCGGTGCTGGGATGTAAGTGAGCCCAGCATCATATGATCATCCTGCTTTCTGTGGAATACAGCCTCAGGATCCCTGTTCTGATGGCCGGGCTTGGCTGTGTGCTCCCATCTGCTGCGTGAAAGGGTTGTGCTTGAACCCGAGTGAAGTTCTCCTGGTCTGTTGCTAACCTGTTACCACATCTCCAGGGGGACAAGGGCCAGCTTGGTGTGGGTCTCTTTCTTGTCTGTGCCTCTCCTGTCCCTCTCAGCCCTGCAGATTGTGTAGAATCTGTAGTTTGTGTTCTACAAGAGCAGGAGCATGGATAAACCTCTGCAAAACCTGGCTTTCATCTTAAAAAGTGTTTTGCCTTCCCACAAAAGCAGCTGTCACTAAACAGTTTTACAAGCAATTCCTTGGTTTCTTGTACTTTTCCAGACAACAAAAGAATGAAAATTGTTAAATTTTCACTTCATTTACTGGAAGCTCAGCGAGCTGTTGTGAAACTGAAGAACTGAGTCAGTTTTGTTCTGCTGCAACTCAGGGAAAAGTGATGGCTATGGAAAGAGGGTGTGCTCCACCCTGGATCTGAAGAAGGACCCAACAGTGGTGGCTGTGTGTGTTCTCTGCAGAACACTGCTTTGGAATTTCTTCCACCTCAGATCCATTTAGTGCTCGACTAGGAGCTGCTTTTCTTACCTTTTTCTCCTCACTCTGTGTGTTCTGTACCCCCTCTTTTTTAAAAAAAGCCCTCACGCCCAGTTGCCTGACTCGGTTCATCTCAGCACCCTTCAGATAAACTTCTGCAGTGTGGAGACAGGTACCAGCATTTGGGGGTGCACCCAGCAGGGACTGCTGCCAGGGGACCTTATCTTTCCATGGATGGTCTCTCACAATCTGGAAAAAACAACTCTTTCCCTTCTTAATAAAAAAACAAACCAAACCCAACCGTGTGCGTGGACTTCTAAGTTCTTTTAAAATAAGGAGAGTTGTCCTGGTTTGCTTGGATAGAGCAAAATTAGCAAACTCAGTTCTACCTTACAAATAGCAAACATCCACGTGGGAGTGCTGTAGGTGACATCCAGTGGTTGGGAAACAGGGCCTCTCTTACTTTAAACTTGTTCTTTTTCAACCCAGCTGAAGGACTGACTGCACAGAGCAAAGATCTCTCAAATTTTGTGTGTGTTTGTTTCAGAATTCCTATCTCTGCCACTGGATATGGCACACTGACTCTTTGTTCTCAGAAATTTCACATTAACCTGTGAAATTCAGAGGGGTACGATTACCTGCTGGGTAGATTTTTGTCAGATGTTTCTGGGGTTACTTCTCCTCCTGCAGGTGACATAGACTGATGCTGTGTGTAGAATTAACTACTTCTATTTGAGCAGCTTCCCAAGAGTTTGTGCGTGCTGTATGTCCTGAGTAGGGTGGTTAATCAGAACAGCGTGCAGCTGCTGACAGCTCTGTAAAAAGCCCAAATACCTCTTCATTGCTTTTTTTCCTCCCTTACTGTAAAAAGCACTTTACAAGCCAGCCTTTATCCTGGAAAAGGTGCGCCTGGACAAGTTGTGTAAGCACTGAGTGGTCACCAAACTGGTTTTGACAGGCAGAAATAGATTCTGGGGTTTGGGGTCTCTCTCTGGGAGTGCCCCTTATCAGCCCTCGGCTTCTGAAAGCAGCGGCTGCTGCTGCAGGCGGTTCAGCTGCTCCTGAAGCATGGGAAGGCATGTTGCAGATAATTTCTGTGGTTATCTAAACCATAATTTCGCTGGAGGGGGAGGACTTGGGATTGTGTTCCTCCCTGGTAGAAGCAGTGGCTCTGAAGTCGCAGGAGCGCTGCAGTAGCAGTAACAGGACCTGTGGAGTTCTGGAGCCAGAGCAGCAGCGCGGTACGCGGTGATTTATTATTGTTATTCTAACCAGCAGCCTAAAAACCAACAGAATCTGCTGTATTTTTTCCTCTCTGGTTATAGGACTGTAGGTGCGATCCAAGCACTTGAAATGACTTGAACTCCTTCCAGTTCACCTCTTGCTCCCGCTCCAAAACTTGTGCTTTACTTTTGTCAAGTTCTCTAGTGCGAATCCCTTCCCTTTTGCGCGTCCTGCCGTGAATTTCCCACCTCCAGCTCCTGGATCCCCACGTTGTCAGTTAAATCCCATTATCCCACGGAGCCTGGTGCAGGTGCCTGTGCAAAAATAACACTCCTCTAAGGAAACGTAGCCTGTTGAGGAGCTGGAATGCTCCTGGCAGGACAGGCTGTTATGGCAGGGAGGGATTTCTGGTGAGAGTGTGTGTTGTGGTCCCAGCTGCTGACCCTGGCAGGTGCAGGGCTGGCTGTAGCCCTGCTGACCGCCGGCTGGATTCACTCCTACCATGTGCGAGCTCCAGAACGTGCCTGGAATAGCAAGAGGGTGGGAGAAGCCCTCCCGTGAGCCCTGGCGTGCACCCTGGGGCAAACTGCCTTTGCATTTTGGCAAAACACGTGATTTGGTGGGGAGTCATCGAGGCTGTGTTGCTGCCAGGGAAATGAGATTAATTTTGCACAGCTTTGGTGACAGCAGTGTCCCTCTTCTCCTCCTGCTCCTCCAGTTCTCACCCCTTGCTGGTCGTAGGGCTTAAAGGTGATTTGGTGTGGTCAAATGGACATCTCACTTTTGTCAGGTAGAAAAGCATTACAGGATTGATATTTGGGGATTGGGAGAATTTTGTTAATTTTGAGTGAAGCACCCAAGGTGTTTGTTATGCTGGACGCAGCACCAGCTCTGGGATCTGCCTGGCCATGGGGCACATGGGAGCACAGCTCAGCTCCTGAGAACACACTCACTTTAAACTGAAACTTTGAAACAAAGGCAGATTGAACAGCAAAAGCCTTGCAGTCAGCCATCTTCTCCTCTCAGCTCCTGCAGCCTCTGCGGCAGCAGAGTTTCCTTGCAGGCTGTGCTCTGATAAATGATGCTGGAGCGGGAAATGAGGTGCAATGCCGGGAGGTTTGTGCTTCAATCTCTGTGCAAACGATGTGATTTATAGCTTAATGTTGATACAAAGCACGACAGTATTGATGGAAAGCATGTCAATATTGAGGGAAAGCCTGAAAATATTGAGGAGAAGCTTGTAATGCAGTGTCAGGAGCCAGCAGCTATGGATCAGCTCCTGGCAGCAGGAGGCTGCTGGGCCAGACCCTGGGTTTAACATCTTGCCTGCTGTTCCCTGTGCTGGCTGCCAGCTCGCCGGGCCCCGGCTGGCACAGGTGGGTAGCACTGGCTTTTCCTGGAAGTCTGGAAGGTTCTCAGCCCATTTCCTACTCATGCTGTGACCCAGCTCCTTGCAGGGATGTGGCCCTTTCTGTCTGCTCGAATGCTGCCGTGGAGCCTCTTTCGAGGAATCGTGTTCCTTATGGTGGAGCCGCTCTTGTTTTATTTATGGGTGGTGGATGTTGTTTGTGTGGAACAACCTGGGAATCTCTGCTCCTCTGTTCCACAAATGGGGAGTTAATTCTCTGCCTGATCCTGGTCGCCCAGTTCTTGCTTTGCAGAGCCCCATTATTCCTGTGAAAAGAAGACAGAAACACCTCTCCATGTGGATACAGCAGGTTTGTGTCAGTTGTTTTAAAGTCAGCTTTGTGTATGGGGGGTGCCCAGGTTTATCCCAGGGACAAACTCTTTACCCCTTTTCCCATGGAGCTCCTTATTCCATGTTGCTGTCTGGGCAGCCTTAGATGTCTTGGTGTGTTTCCTGTCTCCTCCAGGCGGGGTTAGTACTGCTCAGGTTTGTTTGGGTTTGTTTGTTGTGTGCAGCTTTGAAGGTTCTTGCCATGAGGCTCTGCTTCGAGCCCCTGCTGCACACTTCAAACTTGGCTTATTTTTCTAAACTTTCTCTTTTGTGGGGGATTGTGTGGGAGAGTTTCAGCAGGGCCACCTCCTGCCTTGCCAGAGAGGCTTGTGTTGCTCATTTCCCTGCTTTGAAATGACATAATTGTCTTTGAAATCCTGGAAAACACAACTTGGCCATGTGACATGTTACCTGCAAATGCTTTTCCAAAAAGTCTGCAGGACGTGGCTCCAAAATCCAACTCCAAAATTCCTGGCAGGCCAAGAGTCTCAGTAGCCATTTTAAACACAGTTGCTTGGCAAGGATAAAATGGAAATGTCTGACCTTCCTACGTGTTCTAGCCTGATTTAAAAACATAACTAAATTTTGGTTTATTTTTTGATGGCTGTTTAGATTAAATTAACCACTTTAGAATGTATTAAAATAAAAGTTATTTATGTAATAAAGAAGTTAATGTGGTAAAAAGCCAGCTGTACCCTGCACTGGTCCACTGGAAGGTGGTAGGGAATGGAATGAGATGGGCTTCAAGGTCCCTTCCAACCCAAACTTTTTGGGGTTTGGATGATGACAGCTTTTTCCTTGATCCCTCTGAATGCATTGCATGTATCAGGATCCAGGGCTGGTGTTGGAATTGTGGGGTTTTTTCCAACACAGCAATGTCTCCCCCTCCTTTGGAACTCAGCCCCTTTGTCTTGGGAGAGCTCATTGGTAGCAATATCCTGTTTGAAGTTGTTTTAAAAGAATGACCTTGTAGGGCTTGTTTCCTGCAGTCTCTTGATGGGATTTCCTTTTTATTAAACAGGAAATAGTCTGATTACATAAAAGTGTGAGAATGACAGGTTTTTCCTTCCCAGCAAGGGTTGTTCATGTTAATTCTATTCAGAAAATGCTCAACTGCCAGAGCAGCTGAAGTTAATTTACTTTGCCTCAAACCATTGTTTGCACCCAGAAGTTCCTCCTGGTGTGTTGCTGAGGCATTGTCTCAGCCTGAGCAGGTTTCCTGGAGCAGCCTGTGTCCAGGGTTCCATGGCAGATCCTTGTTCTCACGCCTGGAAGGTGGCAGGAGTTCAGGGCTGTGAGATGTGCTGTGCTGAGTTTCAAAGATCTGGTTCTTTGGAGTTTTTTTTAATATTTTTCTGCTTTTTTTTCCCCTCGAGCTGGAGGTCTGAATTGCAATGGGAAGTGGCAGAGCTGGTGCTTCCCTACCTGGCAGCAAAGGTGCACTTGAAATGGCTGTTCCTGCTCTTTTATCTTTGTCCTCAGAATCACCAGCTGACCTGGAGTCAGGAATTTGAGTCCAGACTCTTTTGGATGATGAGTGGGGATGGACAAGAAGTCGAGTACTGTGCTAGGAAGAGGCACAGTGGCAAAGTGAGGTGGCTGGGGAGCCTGGCTGGGACTGGCTGCTGTCCCAAGGGCTCTGAGGATGAATGAAGTTTACATTCCCTATTTAGGCATGGCTTTCTGGTGGAGTTTTACATGGACTGGATGCCTGGAGGAAAGGAATTCTGCCTTCCTCTTGGAGAGGGCCAAACATTTGGGATGACACTGCAAAGCACACACTGTTCTGTCACAACCTGGCCAGAGGATGGGGCAGGCACCATCCCACTTGGAACTGGGGAACTGAGGTGGCTCATGCAGCTTCATTTGTTTCCAATATGAGATTGGCCAGAGAATTTTCAAGATAAACCAACTGAAAAATCCTGGAAATCTTGTGCTTGTTTTTGTTTTGGAAGTTTAATTTGAGTTCTGTAGGTAGATTCCTTTGGGTAATTAGTGCAAATCTTTTCATATCCTACTGGCAAATCACTGTTTCCCCAGTAAAGCCTGGGATTTCAGTGTCTCTGCAGTGTAACTCCCAAATGTCTGACACTGTTACAGCTGGCCTGGAACCTAATTGGACTGGTATGTTGGAAAGTTTCTGGAGCAAGTCGCTTTGGCTCTGAGCTTTGTGCCCGTGAAATGATGAAGTACAGCAGGATGACTCTCATGAACGAGCTTTGTTTAGAGAGCTGGACAACAGTATTGGTGTTGTTTTAAGTTTCCATCTCTGCTCATGGATGTATTGCAAGTAGATTTAATAAGCACAGCGTCTCGCTGTTCTTTGGGACAGTCTGTAGCCAGCTGAGAGTGTTAGTTAGAGTTTGTCTTGCTGAGAGGTGGCAGATCAGCACCTGAACTTCTACAGAGCAGAATTACCTTGGAATAAAACATACTGTTTCAAGAAAACCTGCCACAAAGCATGTGTATGGTAAATCCCTCCTGGGAAAAGGGTTGAAACTCTTTTCTCATTCACAAAAGTATGTCCTTCCGTGCAGCCCTTTCCTAGGGGGTTTTAAGTTTAATAGGTTTAATATAGGCTTTTATTTTGCTTATACCTCATTAAACAACCTCCTCTAAACCAAAAGCAGCCAAATTCTGGCTCCAGAGTTGAATCCTCAGTGCCTGCTGCAAAAGAAATGGCAAACAGTGGGGCTGAGAATCTGTGTTCAGACAATTGCACACTAATAGTGCAGTGGGAGTTCCTGGATGAGTATGTGTTGTTAGTGACAGAACTGCAGGGACAGGCAAGGCCAAAGGCAGCAGGAGAATTAAATCGAGGTACTTCTGCAAAGGGTGGAGGTGCTGAGCAGCATCTGTGCATTTGTGTTGTTACCTGGGGTGTGTCCCAAGCTGCGAGAACTCCGCAGCGAACTCACTGTGGGTGATGCTGTGCCCAGTGCTAGCGAGCGTTTTGGTGTGCAAGGACAGTTTCTCCTGCAGTGCATCAGAGCAGGGAGAGGCAGTGGCTGAGGTAACAGAGCGTGGGAGTGCCTCGGTGTCACTGCTGCTGGAATTTCCACGGCTGTGTGGATGGGGCTGAGGGAGAAGCGAGCAGCGGCAAGGCCCTGCCTTGGGTGGGTCGTGCCCGGGGGTGCGTGAGGCACAAAGACAATCTCTTCCCTTCAGCTGGCTCTGAAGGGGAGCGCTGGGGGTGCCCCATCAGCTGTCTCTGCCCTCCACAGGTGCTGCTGGTGAGCAGTAGTCGCCATCCAGACCGATGGATTGTCCCCGGGGGTGGCATGGAGCCCGAGGAGGAGCCCGGCGTGGCCGCCGTGCGCGAGGTCTGTGAGGAGGTGAGTGCCTTCACCCTGCCCTGTTAGCCCGGGTTCTCTGCGTTTGTTTTCATCACTCTTCCTTCTTCTCCTTGAGGTGGAGAGGCAGACAGGGTCACTGGTGATATCCCCATCCCACGTGGGAGGAAAATGGAGTCCTAAATAACAGAACATGGGAATGTAATTAAACCTCTCAGCTGGAATGAGCTTGTCCTTGCCTGATACCTTTAACTGAAAATAAAGTTCAGCTCTAGTCAGTTCAGTGTATATATAGTCTCTGCTTCATTTTCTCTGTAAGAGAGCTTCAGAATTCAGCTGTGCCTTTGTGGATCTGTCTAGTACTTGGGTAGAAGGTAGAAATAAATCCCTAGGAGCCACTAAAAGCAATCAAAATATAGGGACCTAGGTATGTTTTTGGTTTAGAATACATAGTGAGGTTTATGTGAATAAATGAAATTTGCCATAAGTTACCAGCAGCAGTTCCTAAAGTGTGCATGGGTTGGTTGGTTTATTTTCTCTTTTTTGCTTGAAGCTCTTTCAGGAAGGAGATCAAAAAGCAGATCAAACACAGATCAATGGGCTGTAGGGAGAAGGCACATTTTTCTCTTAAAGCTGCTGGAAGAACAATTTTTATCTTCTTAAGAAGTGTAAAGACAGTAAATAGCAGTTGACTGCAGTGTATGTAAAACATGTCTTTAGAATTTGCTTCTGAATATTAACCAGTTGGGGAGATGCTTAGATTCAGAAATGACTGCATGATTATAGATGGAAGGGCCAAGTAGGTTCACAGTTACATAAGGCAGGATTAAAAATGCTTTTGAGAGGGTTGTAAATCTTTGGGCTCTGTGCAGAACAGAAAGCAAGAGCTAATTGATGGGACCTGGGAGGAAGCTTCTCCTGTAGCTGCTTTTTTGAATTGTCTGGTATATGCAGGTTTTTTCCTGAATTATTTGGAAGTACGTGCTGCTGTCTAACAAAACTCTGAATATTCAGACTGTTGGACTAACCAAACGTGGCAGATCTCGAGTTGCATGTTTCTCTTTGGATGTTTTTATAATCTAGCAGTTTATCAGAAAGAGATTATACAGTCAAAGTTTATTTTTTTTAAGTGTCTTTAGGTCCCTCTAATACTGGGAATTGCTGCTTGCAAATTTTATTTCCAGCTTGTAACCCAGCTCCTGCTTTTCCAGTAACTCGGCAACCTTTCAACTGCTTTACAAGCCAAAGTGAGTGTAACCAGAACAATAGAAATATTTTTAGCTGCAGACTCCTGCTTTTCAGCCCAAGCATTATTAATAATGAGGCGATTTGATACAGAAGCCCAGGGTTCATTCAAGAGGTGCAGAGTTTGCCTCTCAACCCTTAAAATAAATGTGCAGGGGCACTCCCTGTGCGGGCAGCAGCGCCCTGGGAGAGCCGCGCTCTTTCCATGACAGCGCTGCCTGGAAGGGAGCCCTGGCACAGCTCCGGCCGTGCAGGAACTGGTTTGGGCTGGCTGAGATAATCCTGCTCCTCGGCTGGTGTTCCCTGCTCACGTGGAGCCCTGCCCGCTGCCAGTGTAACTCAAGCCCTGGCAGCCTGGCAGGGGTGAGCTCTGCCCAGCGAGGCACCTCCGCCCGGCTGCTCCCAGCATGGAACGGCAGCAGCTTGGAGCACCAGGAGCACCAGGGAATCACCTGGGCACCCCTGGCTCACCTGGGCACCCCCAGCTCACCTGGGCACCCCCAGCCTCGGGCGGTGCAGGTGGAGGAGCTGACATGGAGCTGTCTGACATGAGCACCCTGCAGCTGCCAGTGGTGCTGGCAGAGCTTCAGGGGTGTGAGGCCTTCCCCATTTGTGCTGCTGCTGAGGGGCTGCACACAGAGTTATCCCCCACATCCCCAGCCTCGAGCTGTTTGCTGGGTGCAGGGGGGATATTGTTGGAGCACAGCAGGAGTGTTGGGAAAGACAGGAGCACCCAGCTGGGAGGCCTTGCTCTCCCTTCCACGTCAATTCAGGTGTTCTGGGGTCATTTGGAGCTGAGGCTGGTTTCTGCGTAGGTTTGAGCTCTTTGCTTCTCTCCTGGGACAGCCATTCATGGGGACACAGGTTAGCTGAGCAGTTCCAGTTTGTGGCTCAAAGTGGGAGAGGGAAAATCCAGTTTCCCCCATGGCAATGAGCAGTGCTGCTCATTTCTTTCCTTGACTTTGGTGTGCCTTTTCCAATTTTTAATAAGAGCTGGTTGGAAGAGCTGTAAGAATTTGTGACCCTTCCTGTTGCTTGTGGCTTTTGAGGATGACAGTAGACTCTCTCTTCCCAATTCATTCTCTTTTGCATGGTGTGCATTTTTTTTCCAAAACATGCTTCCCTAAATGAACATTTTAACTTCTGCATTCACTGTTTTAATTTTACTGTGTACGTGTTTGGGTTTATCCATGTTATTGCAGAAATAATTGTCATCTAAAGTTACCTAACTTTTCCCTCTTTCTGTTCCAAAAATGAAATGTTGATTCTGAGTGAAGGCTGTGATCCCTCTGTCCCAGTTTGAGTTCAAGTCCTTGTCCTAGTTTGAGGTGGTCCTTATCTGTATTAGTCTGTACCAGCACAAGTATTAAAGTAGACAGGTACCAACACTTGTCATGCTCCCTGTTGTCTGCATGAAATTGGAAGTGACTGGAGTTGTTGGGCATTGTTTGTGCAGAGTGACAGCAGACACACAGCACTCGGGGTCAGAGCAGCCTCTTCAGAAGAAACCTTATTTTTGACAGGTTGCTGAAAGTGCTGTAGTCAGTTTTACAGAGCTGGGGACTCCATGTGTGTTCTAAAGTTCACCTTGTGGAAGGTGTGTGCCCTTTTTAAACAGGTCGTGGTGCTCATGGAGTGTGTTCTTTGCTTAGGAATAAGGGGTTTTTATGGGTGTGAGCAACTGGTGAACATCATGGTTTAGAAATAGATGCCTTCAACTTATTATAGATCCACTTTGAAAAAAGCCTCCACACTCATCTGTGACACTCAGCACCAGTTCCTTTTTCACTTAGAGCATTCTTCACATCCTGACCTTTAAATACTTAGGAAATGTCAAATTTTAAAACACTGCAGGAGTGTTGGTTGTTCTTTCTTCATGGGAGTCAAAAGCCAGATAATCTGTGCTTGATCTGTGATCAAACAGGCAATTGGTGCCAATATCAAGAATAGTCCATCACGGCAGTACTTTGATCTAGTTGCTGGAACTTTTTTTTTCCCTCTTCTAAACATGCTTTATAGATAATCTTTCCTGTTTCATGTATTTTGTTAGTGATTTAGGACACAGATACTGATATCTTTCAGTGCTAAAGTAGGAAGATTTTTTTTTTTTAAGTACTGCAGGGCCCACAGATAAATGATGAGATGATGGCCTTTGAACCCTTCCTCGTTGGTCATAACCAGTGCAAGTGGTGGCTCAAAGTCACTGTCCCTTACCCTGTGTACTCACACTTCACAAAAACAACTGCAGTGTCTGAAAGTTCTTCATTCTGGTATGGAATTTCATTTCTATTTCATTTCATTTCACAAGTGTAGAAGCAAACAAAGGTGTCATGCAGTACCAAATTAGATGAATGAGTCTGGCCCTCTCTGAGATGGCAGAGTTTGCCCAGCTGGCCTGGAATCAGCATCTTCCAAACGTGTCCACAGCCCTCCTGGGTGGGATTTGCACCTTCAGTAGTGCAGGTCTTAAAGCAAAGATTTGGGTGTTCCACCACAGTTCTCTTGCCTGGCAGTAATCTGTAGTAGATGCAGGCTTTGAGCCTAATAGAGCAAAGTAAAATAGCTGAAATTCCAACCCACATTTTCCTTAGCTCAGATGGAAGGAAATAAAAGCTGTCCCGAGGAACAGATGGTGTTGCTGCAGGCTGCTTTTTGCATCTGACCCCAACTTATTTTCAGCTTTGAAACCTGAACCTTCTGTTCTTGGATGGCTTCAGTAATTTTTCTTTATTAAAACAAGTTGTTCCATGAGCAGCAGAACTAGTAAAGCTTCATTTCCTCCAGGTTTTTGTTCCTTGTCCTGAGCTCCCAGCCCACCCCTCTGGGTGCACTGGGGGTTTGGGGTGTGTGCTGGGCAGGCAGCTGGCTCTGGCAGTGCCTGTGGCTGATGTGCTCTTGCCAGAGCTGCCTTTTCCTCCTCCCCTGAACCCTGGACACTGATTCAGATCAGCAGAGCAGGAAAAAAGCTCATTTTGCCAGCTCTGTGTGTCCTCTTGTACCTGAATGTGCCTTTCCCAGGGAATCCTGTAGTGTGATTGCCTTGCTTTGTTTCCATACCTGCAGCTGGAACAGTTGGTGCTGGTGCTCTCCTACCCCTGCTGATGGGTTCAGGAGCATCCTCCTGGGATCCTCCTGGGATTTTCCACGTACTTGGAGGATTGCAGCACTTGCAGTGCTTAAAGTGGCACAAAATCAATTGTGCTGCCTCTGCCTCACTCACAGGTCTGGCCCAGGAGGGCCATTAATTTACTATCAAGGAGAAAATTCCTGAGTCATCTGCTGCAAATTAAGATTCAGACCCTGCTGCAATCCTGGGTCAGCCTGGGACTGTGTTTTAACTCTTCAAGAAAATTTTCTTGCCCATATAAAAGGAGAAGATGGGGAGCTTGCCCAGAGAGGAGCCTGGCAGTTCCCTTGCTGGTTACCAAGCTTGACTTGTTAGTGATAACTGCTGTAGGTTATTTTCTCAGGTGTCTTGGGCAACTTCTATGTTGGAAATTTGTGTGAGACTGTGAATTCCACTTTCATGTTTGTTTGTTCCATTCTGCAGTGACAACTCTCCTGTTGGTGTGGGAATTTAGTGCTCTATCAAAAACAGGGGCATGACAATCCAGTTGGTGTTGGGTGTCCTGTATGTTGTTTTTAAAATCCACCTGGAAAACGGGTTGAGAGAGGCGTTGGCCCCCAGGAACAGTGGCTGATGTGTTTTGCAGGCTTTAGTAAGAACTTGCTTAAAAATAAAATCAGCCCAATGTTTTTTTTGAACCAAACCATTCTTTTATGTCGCCTTTTATGCACATGAGAAGTTTGTGTGTGAAGCAAAGCTTAGAGCTTTCTCCAGTTGCGTGATGATAATTCAACATGATTTTTCTACGAGACATGTTTGTCCTGGCATCATTTTTTGTGCCTTTTTGAGCAAATAAGACCAGGCAGGACAGAGCAGGAGGATCCTGGTTTGCAGACAGCGTTATTTCCATCGTCTCTCTTTACCAGCGCAGAAGGAAGGGCTCCTCACCTCCCTCTGCTACTTACTAGAGCTGGGATAAACTGCCTGGGAGGCTGCTTGAGCAGAATTCATCCTTCGTCTCCAGGTTGGCCAGTTGCCTGGAGATAAATTTATTTCTAGTCAGACTTGAGAGTTCACTAAACCATCACAACAAAATCCCTGGCTTCTGATTCAGTGCCTACAGGTAGGGAGAGCAGAAATTCAACAACCTTTTTCAGGAACCAGTGAAGCATTGGCTTAAGACAGTTATTTTCCAGAAATATTTGATTATGCTTCACCTTTTAATGCATTCATGTCCCTATGCTGTGAAGGTGGAAGCCTCCAGTTCCTCCCTGTGTTTCTGCTGCCTGTTGAACACGGCTGAGCTAAAAATAAATCCCAGTGCTGAAGGAGTTCCTTGAGGGAAATGCATTTGAAGCATTTACATTCCAGATGCCTTGGGAGAGGGCTGAGGGCAGGTCAGCAGGGTTGGCAGAGGAGGTGGAATCGCTCACCCGCAAAGGTCAGCGGGCACCGACCTGCATGGAATTGCTGCTCCTCCATGGAGCTGCTGCTCGCTCCAGAAATAGCCCCAGAGTCACAGTGAGGCACCTCTGGGCCGAGCAGGATGTCACAAGTGCTGGTGAGACAATAAAGCTTGTGTCCAAAAATGAAATAGGAGATTCAGTTGATTCACTTCCTAGAAGTGGAGCGCCTTACCAAAAAGATTTCTAGATTTTTTAGTGAGGGAGCTCCAAAGCCTTTCCTCCTGGGGCAGTTCCACAGAAGCAGCCATTGGTAGCAGGAGTGAGGTGTTCTCTGGCTGGATTCTCTGGTACCTGTTCATGCAGTAGGCTGGAACTTAACCAGGAAAATTGTCTCATTAAAGAAAGTTCTTCCTCTCTGACAGCACGAGACTCTGCGGCACCTGGTCAGTAGGACAGAGAATTTGTCTTATCATTAATGTGACTCAAACATCTTTTTTTTTTTTTTTTTTTTTTTCAATAAAACCAGCCTGGGTTAATCATATCTCTGTATCTCATCTGCAAGAGGCACAATTTCCCTGGCTGTTCATGGGATGTGTTCCAGCTGCTGGAGACGGAGCTGACTCTACCTCCCAGTTGTGGCTGGGTCGTGTGCCAGGCTGTGTGGGTTGGTTCAGACCTGTTAAATCATGGAGCAAGATCTCATCTTGTCTGTAGCACTTGAGTTCCAACCATTTACAGTCATAAAACAGAGGGAATATAAAGCAAGGGCAGGAGAGTGGGCTGGGATTTTGCACAGAGAGCTGAGGAGGGTGGAGAGGGAGCCAGCAGAGAGGTGCCAAAAGGGACACCAAATGTGATGGAGTGGTACATCCTCAGTAGTACTCAAACAGACAAAACTGTTGCTTAGATCTCTTGATTTGTGCTTCTGCTTGATTCAAGAGCTTTATTTCAGTGTGCATCTGCCCTTTGTGTTATATCCAAACCTCTCTGGTTCCTGCTGCCAGGGCCACATCACAGCATTTTGTGTTTATATTAGCTTGTTTCAGGTGTGTGCAGGACACCCCTGAAATACCTGGGAGCTTTCACATCACTCTTGGAGTGTAGGTGAATGTTTTACACATACTTTATTTCCTTAAACTCTGATTTTGAAGGGGTAAAACTGCCAAACCCCAAAGCCAATGTTCTCCTTGCTCAGGCTGTAATAACCTGCAGAGGAGATTCTGGTCACGAGGACTGTATTGGTATGCAAGGAGTAACTCCTCAAATATTTCGTCTTCCTCCAGATTGAATTCAAAATTGTTTGAATGTAGGAAAACAAGAGAAAAAAACCCTGGGAATGCTTGGACGTTGAGCACTCAGGATCCATTTCTGTTTTTTGCCTTGTGACTGTGTTGGTTTAAGACAAGCAGAATTTTAGAGCGTTTGCTTCCTGTCCTAAAGGAACTGGTCCTGCACAACAAGTAGGAAACACGTACTGAGCTGTTGTTAAAGCATGTTTCTTTTCTCTTTGAACTTTCCTAGGCTGGAGTGAAAGGGACGTTAGGAAGATTAGTGGGAATTTTTGAGGTAAGTTTCAGACATGGACGCTGTGAAATTTTGTTGCAAAAAATCATCTTGGAGTAACAATGGCTCTGCAGGGTTGTGGAGTGAGCCTCACTGGTAAATAAAAACACAATTCTGATCTTTGCAATGGGCACTTTAGTGAAATCACTGGTGATAACTGGTGTGGCTGAATATTCTTGGTGCTGCCAAAAGCAGGGGAGTGGGGTCCCCCCTTCATTTGTAGCACTCACAGCCACACCTGGCAGTTGGCAGATACTGGACACAGCTCTTCTTGCTGTTGTTCTGGCACTGACTCCTTCAAACTCACGTGAAATAGGTCAAAACCTTCCCAGCTGAAGAACTAATTTGTAGAGCACATCAGTCCACAAACCACTGCTCCACAGATCATGAACTACACTTTTGGGTATCCCTGTCAACACTTTCAGACCTCTCTGATTTAAAACAGCCGTTTTTAGTAGCTAAGAATGAGTTGTGCTGTGGGAGGAGCTGCACCCAAGGTGGGCAGTTTGCATTGTGCAGCAGCCCAGTGCCCTCCTGCCTAGAAAGGTGTGTTGTTGCTGTTGGTTGGTTGTACTCTGTCCCCTTTGCCTTCCAGAACCGGGACAGGAAGCACAGGACTTATGTTTACGTACTCATCGTCACCGAAGTGTTGGAGGACTGGGAGGACTCTGTCAATATTGGTAAGCTTGGTGCATGCTGCATTAACTGATGGGAACAAGCCACAGGTCAGCTCAGCACCCTCTGGGACCTGGAGTCTGTGTGAGTGTCACTGGGACCCTGGAGTCTGTGTGAGTGCCATTGGGACCCTGGAGTCTGTGTGAGTGCCATTGGGACCCTGGAGTCTGTGCGAGTGTCATTGGGAAAAGTTGCAGTGATGTGTCCTTTGGTTGCCTGGGAAAAAAAAAAAATGTGGTGAAATTGATGATTTGTCACCTCTGTGGCCCAGGAGAAGCCAACTGAGTGTCCAGCTGCCTCTGCAGCAATTTTGTGTTTAATTCTTGCACTGGATGGTACCAAGCAAAGATGAAGAACTGTCCTGTTTGAGACTAGAGGAAATACATGTGAGCAGTATTGGGTTAATCATTCCCTGTTACTTTTGAAACCTTTGTGTTTAAATTGGATTCCCGAGTGGAAATGAACCTGTTGTTGCCACAAGGTTTGTGACTGCACTGCAGCAAATGGAACATGACTCCCTTCAGGCTCTTTATGGAAAGAGTAAGAACTGAGAGCTGTCCACAGGAAACTGAAGTCCACTTGCAAACTCATGGAAATTGGGTGGTGCTTGGTGTGTGTGTTGGGAGTTATCATAAAATGAGCATCTGAATAGAAGTTGCAGAAATAGTAAAACAATGTTTTTTTTAATTAAGAAACGTGAGACAGGGGATGTACTGCCCTAAACTGTCCCTGGGGATGGGAGCTGTCAGTGTGGGGCTGGAGGGGGAGGCCCTTGAGATCAGAGAACACCACTCCGTTGCATCTACTGATTTCTCTCTTTGCCCCTAGGAAGGAAAAGGGAATGGTTTAAGATAGAGGATGCCATAAAAGTTCTGCAGTATCATAAACCAGTGCAGGCCTCGTATTTTGAGACCTTGAGGCAAGGCTGTCTGGCCAACAACGGCACCCCGGTGATGACCACGCCGTACTCCGAGAGCTCCGTGTCCGACATCAGATGACTGACGACGTCCCTGCGAGAGCAATTCCCTAAAGCAGACTGAGACCTGGATTTCCCTCCCCTCCCCGTTTCCATGCCTCCTCCCTCACACCAGGCATGGGCAGCCGCCTGGGGCAGAGCAAGTGTTCAGAGTGCTGCGATTTAGTGCAAGGTGGGATGATTTTTTTGTTGTTGTTGTTGGCTTTTTTTGCTTTTTTTTTTTTTTTTTTTTTTTTTGGATCTGTATTTTGTAAAATACATTTGGTGCATGAAGTGCCCCTTTCCCGGTACTCCGCTCCACGGCCTGGAGGCTGCCAGCCCCGCATCTGCCTTGTGCTCTGAAGTGTCCCAAGCGTCCCCTTCGTGTCACCCCAGCCAGAGCCACTTTTCTTTCTTTTTTTTTTTTTTTTTTTTTTAATTAAAAGCCTTCCAATGTGAGATCAGCTCTTCAAGTCTTAGTCTGTACTGTAAGGTGCTGCTCAGACCCGTGTGGGGATTACTCGCAGCACATCTGTATAAACTTTTTTTTAGATGGAGGATCTAACATTTTAATTTTGCGGGAGTTTTTTTTTTAATCCTGGTCTGCTTCTGAAAAGAAGGGTTCATAATTAATCTGTTTGCCTTTTGTTCTGTTTTTTAAAAACACACATTCTGTGGCAGTGCTAGTGGCTGGGCCAGTTTACTCCCCATCCAGTATCTCCCGATTTAGTGCAGTGACACTAGAAGTTGAGGGCAGAGTTCGGATCACCTGCAGACATCCTTGCAGACATCCCTGCGGCTTTTCCGGCAGCTTCCACCAACACTTCTGCGTTTCCATCCGAGGGAAACGGCACGGAGCTGATCTGGAGCCGCTGGCCAAAACCAAACAGCCTCAGCAACGCTGCAATAGCGCCCGGGTCGCGCCGGCTGCGGTGGGAATCGGGGGTGCAGGGGGGGTCGGACGGACAAACTGCAGTGAGGCTCACCAACGCTGTCCCCCGCTCCCGCTGCGTCCTGCTCGTGTCTCTCTTGTCCACATGCCTTACGCCGTGCTGAACTGGACACTTGGGGTTTGTGCTGAGCATCGGGCCGTGCTCGCCGAGCGTCGCTGCCGCGCTCGGAGAACCGCGCGCGCGTCCCTGAAGAGAAGTCTCCGGGGGGAAAATTCAGGTGTTGAGTCTCTTGTCCTGTGGTTGTGCAGCACTTACGGTCGCACCGTGGAGCGTGCTTGAAGTGTGCCCTCTGTGAAAGGTACAGCTGCCTCCTGCAGGCAGCATTCCCGGGGGAGCAGCACGGGAGAGCTCCCCGATGCGTTGGCACACTTCACTTGGGGGTTTGTTGTTTTATTGCTGTAAGTTTCATGCTGTCTTGATTTGCCAACAGTGTTGTCTAGTTGGGAAATAAAATGGGAAGGGTTGGGGTTGGGGTTCGGGGGGTGGGTTGGGACAGGTACAAGTTTTGGGAGGGGCATTAATTAATCCCTGGCTTGGGACAAGAAGTGGTTGCTGAGTTCAGTAACTTCTCCTTTGTCAGAGCAGAGCCAAGATGTGAAATTAAATCTGCAGTACTTTTTTTTTTTCCTTTTTTTTTCCTGCTCTTTATTTAACAAAAAATATTCTAATAAACACTCACTGTTCTGGAGTTTTCTCTCTTCCTGAGAAGCGCTTACAATATGAAAATCTGATAGAAATATCCATGGAGCCTGGGACAAGGGGGAATGGTATCCTTGCTGGTTTGGCAAGAAGCTGTTCATTTTAAGATCCTTTTCTGTTCCTTTCCTTGTTCTCCCTGCTTTCATCGGTGTGGAGTAGCAAGGCCAAAAGCAGTGCCAGTGATCGCTGACATGGAAAACCACGCGTAAGGAACAGCCCATTATTCAAGGAGTAGCTCAAACCCAAGCGTCTGGAATTGAGCCCAAATTACACCAGTTCAGCTCACTTCAACTTAGAGACGAATGTACAATCCTTTCTCACTATGTGCTGGTCAGCCTGAACCAAACTCTCAAAAGGGCTTGAATATTCTATCTGGAAGTGTCCAAGAAATTCCCAGAGTCGCTGTCCCCGTGCCCTGCGAGGCACCTGACACAGCCATCTACTGCCTTCAACGAGTCTTGGTCTCTACTGTACAGATTAGTATGTTGGAAATGCTTTGCAACAAAACAGCTGGTACTCCTGAAAGAGTAACTGCAGTTTTAATATCAGCAGCATGCACACTTTTGTTTTTAAACTAAAAATGTTTTTACAGGGCTGTTAAACTGACAATTTAGGGTAGAATATTGTTAATGACTTGCTAATGGCTTATTTGTTTGGGTCAGAAAAAATAAATTGTGCCAAGAAAGTGTTTTAATGTGGCATGGATTGATGCTGTTACCACGGAGTGGCTGATGTTACAAGGCATAACATGCCTTGGAAATGGCTCCTGGGGCAGGAATAGCCTTGATGCAAGAGATGCAGATTTCAGACCAGGCCTGAGCTCTGTGCTCCCTGAACCTCTCCCTGCACCACACAATCCTCATCTTCCTCAGCATCTGAGGTTCTCTCTAGAGCCCGTACAGCTGCACCCCCAGCAGTTGGAGTGGTTTTATCCAAACTGGTGTTAATTGGTTTGGGACTGAGCGTCGCCCTGTCTGTGAGAGGCCCAGGGGAGCTGTGGGAGGGTGGCTCTGGTTCTGCAGCCCTGACAGTGCTGCTCCGTCTCACTGCTGGGGCCACTGAGTCCCAGGGGCTGAGCCTGGGGCTCCCAGCTGTGCTGAGACTGGTGCTGTTCCAAGCTGGTGGTGTTGGATAGTGGGATGATCTTACCTCAGCTGGCCTGACCCTTATGTGAGGTGTCACTCTGTGTCTCAGCATCCCCTGGGAGCAGTTCTCAGCTGGCTCTCAGCCCGGCTGAGCTCTCTGGGCACTGCTGGGAGCTGGCTACGACAGAGGGTGTCCCCAGACAGCCAACGAGGTGCAGCAGCCGTCTGGTCCCCCCTCCTGGCAGGTCTTGAATGCTGGTTTGGGGTGTGAGGTGAGGAGGGGCTGCTGCTCTTCATCACCCAGCTGATGGAAGGGGGCAGAGCCTGAGGGGGGTCCCTCACCCATGGGTGCTGGGGAGGCAGCACCCAAACCTGCTGCTGTCTGCCCTGGTGCTGGGGGGAAGGTGGGAGCTGGGTTTGGGGCTGGAAGGAGCAGCAGTATCAGCACTGCCACCAGCTCTGTTCCTGTGTAGGTGGATGCTGTGAGCTCTTCCCTACTCTCCTGTGGAGCACTGAGGCAGCTCGTTCAGCCTGAGCTGGAATGTGCCTTAAAGCAAACTCTGTAAAGGGAAAAATGAAAAGGGGTTGGAATCTGCAAGTGTTGCTTTTCCCCTTGTGTGGCCACAAAGTATTCAGTGGCTAAAAATGTGGGTAGGGAATGTCAGGAATCCTCAGTTCCCTTCCCGGATCCAGCAGAGGCTTTGGGCCTTTGCCTCAGCTTTTCCATGCAGAAGCTGTGTTCAGCATTCCACAGCGAGCAGGGATCAAAATCCTGGAGGCTGCGCAGGTCCAGCGAGTACCCCTGGTAGCAGGGCTGTAGGTTTTCCTGCCTGTTCTCTCTGTTCTATCCCAAATTAACATGTTTGTGTTTTCACACAGCCGGTTGCAGCATCCATCCCCGTGCAGAGAATACAGGAAGCACTGGGGCTTGGTGAGGGGTTGCTTTGGGGTTTGACCCTCCCAAGTGGAGCCTGTGGCTGGTGCTGGGGGTGGGATGGAGCTGCATCATCAGCCAAACCTGCCCCAGGCAGTGACTGTGGCAGTGTGAGGAGCTTTTCCCTCTGGCTGACCCAGTGCCTGCTCTGGTCTTGCTCCCAGGCTGGGTTTTCCCTCCTGGCTCTGTTCTCCTCAATAACGGCATCATCTGATGGCTGCAGCCCTTCAGGGACGTGGTGACCTCATGGTTGGGGCGTCCCTCAGTGCTCCCTGAGCCCCTGACACACACAGGGTGTGATTCTCCTTTTCCTAAGCTTGGAATTAACTAACCCAGCTGCTCTGGGCTGCAGAGATCCTGGGGTGCTGTGCTGGGATAGTGTCAGGGGTCTGTACAAAACTAAAGTGGAGCTGGTGAAAAAAACCTGAGGTGGTGAAAAAGAAACTGAACTGAAGTTGTATTTAGGAGATTTATAGATCTCTCTTTGGTGCTAGTCCATAGAGGTTTTTCTTTTTTGCTGTTTTGTTTTTGGTTTGGTTTTCTTTTTGGTGGGAAGATGGGAATTTTGATGTTATACTTGATGAATTTGCTCTAGAATTGCCTCAGAAACCTGAGGGAGGTCTGAGAGTGTTTGTTGAATTTCCTGTGTGTCCTATTTTATATTTATTAAATCAGAAAATCTGGAATGATCACTTTGCATTTGCTGCTCAGTCCTTCCACGAGCTGTGTGTGCATGGGGGGCTCCTGGCAGTCCCCCCAAATCAGGAAAAGGGGATTCCAGACCCAGCTGAGGGATGAATGACCAGGGTCCATTGTCCAGCCTCCTGTCCACAGGCATTTTTGCCTGAGGCTTCTCCATTCCTCTCCAAAACAAGGACTCTCCATGGTTGGTCAGAGCTGTGGGGGTTTGAGCATCTCTGGTTTGTTCTGAGCTGGTACCTTCGACCTCACCCCCACCTGCAGGAGCAGGTGTTCTCCTGCTCAGTGCTGGCTCCAGGTGCAGGACATCCCTCCTTGATTCTGACCTCTCATCTCTGGTGTCTCCAGAAATGCTGGAGAGCTCTCCGTGTGTGAAGCTGGGTGGTGCAGTGGGGTCCTGTCATTGGTTTCCTCTGTTGAGTTGTGAAAGAGAGGCCGTCACTGTCTTTAAAATAGTGAAAAATTGAAAAAATAAAATTGGTGGGTGCCAGTTTGCCGAGAGTGTGGGCTGTAATCTAGTGCCAACCAATAAACACGCCAGTATTTCACACGGCTCTGCCTCCTGCCTGGTCTCTCCTTCGTAGGTGAACTCGGAGATTGTCACCCAAGGAGAAAGCTCTCCCTGCAGTGGCTTGGGACAGTCACAGCCTGGAAGAAGAACTGGAGGGATGTCACCAACAGCCTGGTGTTGAGATGGGCTCGCTGATGGGACATGCACCCTGCAATAAAAAGAAGCATTTTAAGGACAGAGCCTCGAGGAGCCTCTGAATGTGCTCCCACCTCTTCCACAAAATCCTTCCCACAAAATAGCTGTGGGAGAGGCCGGGTGGAGCCTGCGCCGAGAGCACAGCACCGCGTGGTGCCACTGGGGCTGCCTGCCTGGCCACAGAGAGGCGACCTCCCGCATTTCCCTGCGAAACAAGCGAGTCCTGATGTGGACACCCACCCCTGAGCGAGCCTTTGCGAATTCCCTTCGGGGTCGGGATGTGGCCAGGCTCCTCCCGCAGAACACAGCGGGGCTGGTGTGCCCCAGCCCCGCCTTGCAGCTGCGGCCCGGGGCAGAATTAATCCGAGCTGACGGCGGCGGTAATGCCCGAGCGGGCGGGCAGAGCCGGGGCCGCACCCGGCCCCCCGCCCCGGCGCTTCTGGGCGGATGAGCAGCCGGAGGGATGCGCTGGCTGGAAATCCGGCCACTTGCGCTCAGCTGCTTAAACGGGAGCTTAGCGGCTCAGCAAAGCTGTCCCCAATTACGTGCTGGGGGCCGAGGAGCGCAGGGGAGGGGGCTGATGGCTCACAGCGGGGTTTGGGGCAGAAATGAATACCCTGTGCTGCTATTCCAGTTTTGTCCCTCTGGCTGACACCCCGTACACCCCGGGCACGAAGGTGCCGTGTCCCCAGGATGGGTGGCGATGCTGCCCTCAGCCCCCCGATATCCTTCCCCACCCCAAGGCTAGCAAGGCGGATTTCTCCAGGGATGAGCAGGTCCTGTGCTGCCCCAGCTTTGACTCCCCTTTTCCCCTCATCTGGGTGCTCTGGGAAGCAGTGGATTGGTAAAAAAATAATGTCCATGTGGGATGTGGGGATGCTGCAGGTGTCCTGGGCAGGCTCTGGCCATATGGAGGGGCTTGGTGACCCCCGGTCTGCTCCCAGGGATGCCGATTCCACTGGACCACGCATGCTCCTCCTGGCCATGTGCTCCCACTCGCTCATGCTCTCCAAGGAGCTTTCCTAGAAATTGATGGATTTATTTTTAGCCCTGGCACAGCAGGGTTCAGCTGGGAGGGGATGGGCGGCGGTGGATGGCGGCAGCGTGGAAGGCTCCCGAGGTGTCAGTGCTGGGCTGGGGGGGACTGGGAGTCCTGTCCCACTCTGTGGTTCCCCCATTGCAGTGCTAAACAGGGGCTGGGGCTGGTTTGGGAAGGGTCTCTGGGGCAGGGGGAGTCAACACAGACAAGGAGAGCAGTGCCACTGCTGGGGAGAGTGGGGTCAGCGGGACCCCTGGGGACAATGGGACATGGGGAACAACAGCAGTTGGCCACTCTCGGGACAGCTGGTGTCCTTTTCTGGTCTGGAGAGGGGAAAATGACCCTGCATGGGCTGGGCAGGAGGAGAGGGCAGCACTGCAGGGACTGGTACAGGCAGAGGTGCAGGCAGGGTACAAATGGCTGTGCCATGGGCAAGTTCATCCCAGAGGCTGCAGACCAGGCGCTGCTCTTCCCTACCAGCTCGGGAGGCTCTGGATGCTCCGCAGTGGCTGAGCCCTGCCCTGCTGCCAGCCCAGGGGCTGTGTCCCCCCAGCCCCGCCATGTCCAGGCTCCTCTTTCACCCCGTTCTCCTTGATGATTATTTTTTGTAGCTGTTGGGAAGCGCAGCGGGGCCCAGTGCTCCTGGTGTTCCCCGCTCCTTCCTGACCCACTTAGCGGGACCATCTGGTCCCCGCGGGCAAAGCGGATTAGCCCTGCGGCCGGGATCAGGGCTGGGGCGCTGCCACCACTGTGGGTGACACTGCTGGCACCGTCACAGCCATGCCTGGAGTCCCCTCGGGCCCAGCCTGGGGGAGAGACCACAGCAGGAGGGCCTGGCCAGGGACCCACAGCAGCCCCCACGGGGGTGACCCTGCCTGTGCTCCTGGCACCCCTGAAACCCGGCCATCCCCAGCCTCGTGGGATGGTCGTCTCCCACCACACCCACATATCCATCCATCCATCCATCCATCCATCCATCCCTCTCCTCCCACCCACACCCCCAGCTGAGCATTCACCTTTGGCCATCCCTCCCTCCATCTATCCGCCCACCCCTCCTCTCGCCTTCCCTCGTGCCCCCTCCCAGGGGCCGTTTCTTCCTTTCTGCCGATTTTCCCCCCCGTTTTTCCGTTCCTCGCTCTCCCGGTTCCCATTTTTCCATTTTCCCCGCGTTTCCCTGCCCTGCTCCTTCTCTCCCCTCACGCGGTTTCCCGCCCCCCCCCCGCCCGGTCTTTGCTGCCCCCT